TTTTTTTTTTTGTATGGATTTGGTTTTGGCATTAGTGTAATATTGTCACACCATACAAGGTAGATTTTTAAATTAATTTTGTTTTCTATTTGGGGTGGTACTTTTGATGCAAATAATTTAACCATTGCTATTAAAAGAGCTATCAATGTTGGCAGTGTCATGTGGGGGTGTTTGGTAAAAACGTGGCGTAATAATTAATAATTTCACGACTTCATTTGCTTGGTGGGTGAGTCGTGAGATGGTGACTCGGACAACCGGCCTTGGCGTAAGAGGTAGATAATATTTGAGATGGTTGTCCGTAGCGGTTCATGAAGGATCAATTGTGATTCGGGTTTTAGTCCAACCAACTAGGCGTGGTGGTACTTCTGGAGTAGAGGGGTGTTAGGCAGAGGATTAGCTCGACATGAGCTAGGTGGAATACTAAGGGTGATGAGCTAGGTATTCCAGCAACTAGGCATCTCGGCACCCAGGTAGCTCGACCGAAGAGTCCTGTCGAGGGGACTAAAGCCCGGAGGTAATCTTGTGCTCAAGTCATGAAGAGATTCACAACCTCAAAGACTCTAAGGATTTAGAATTCTTTGATCTAAGTAAGTGGTATATACGAAGAAGACTTCTTGTCCTACCAGGAGCCATCAGTTGCCCAACTATAAAAGGGCACACGTTCATTCATTTAAACAACACACACATACGAACTATCTCGTTACTCTGTCGTTTTCTCTTTGGACCACCACTGACTTGAGCGTCAAAGTGTCCGTGCCGGGACCACTCCCGACGTGTTTTGCAGGTACCAACGTTCAAGGAGACGCAACCCGATTTGAGAGGAGCGGTCCAGCGGTTCAAGTATTTGTGGTACAATAATATTGATGTTAAATTAAATTAGTTTGTCTAAACTAGGTTCGTGTTTGGTTCGCCGCATATGATAAACCAATTGAGATAACAATAAGACTCGTTAAGTCTTAAAAGGAGAATTGTTACATAATTTTTTTATATACATGTGCAATATGTATATCAAATGAAAAGTATGATTAATTTCACATATTAAAATTTGATAACAAACAAAAAACTATTAAGTCATAAAATATACTTATAATATAAGTTGATTAAGTGTTTTATAAATTAAAAAATATCAATATACATGCGTCAAATCACATGGACTTCAAATCACCATTATTTAACATGTAGAATTACGAAGCACCACAAATTAGCCTAATTTGAAATTTATGATTTTATTGTAAATATTTTTTTTTATAAGAAATAAGAGAATTTTAAATTTTATAAAATTGTCGTGTCGAATTTTACCTAAATTAACTCGATTTATATGAAATCTGATTTTTTTAATAAACAATTAATCTGTTGCAATATGAAAAATATATATGTGATATTGTTTTGCCTAATTCAAAATTCTCAATTTTATGGTAATCAATTTTTTTTATCTAAAAAAATAGAGAATTTTGAGTTTTGAAAAATTTTATGCATCAGTCGAAATTTACCTAAATTAAATCCACAAAACCCATGAATTTAGGGTACATATATAACTTATTGATTTTTTTGGGAATAATTTTAAGAAATTCAAAACTACCAAAAATAGAATGCAATAAATGTTGGTTGACTTTTTCTGTTACTATTTTTTGTAAATAAGTTATTTCTTTATATAGATATAGATATAGATATACAAATATGAAAGATTTAATTGGATGACATGATATGTATAGATTGATTAGTAACAATCGTGATTAGTGTGGTGACATGATATGTATAAATGGATTTGTATTCTATTTGTTATGTATCACATTTATTGCATTTGATATTGTTTATTTCGTATATCCAAATTGGTGTTTTAAACAAATGTTGTTTATTGTTTCATGATTTTGTTTTGTCATATTTAAGGGAAACACGTGAACTAGAAAAAAAATCTCATTGAAATGCCATATTTTCTGTTAAGAAAAAAAAATGTTTCCGTAAAAAATAATTACATCACAACAAATTCATTGAGTAAGTGAACAAATTCTTATAATAAAGCCTGATTTTCTATACAAAAATAAAGCAACAACTTCTACATTTTAAGGACATCAATTAATGATTGTCCGTTTTTGCTAAAAAAAAAAAGAAAAATTGCCATTAATGGAAAGCAATTAATGCAGACAAGGTTTGACAAAAATTGAATTGCCATTTTTTAAAAAATAGTAATTCTTTATATATATATAGTCTCGAATGCGTTGAGTCTACATGACTGCTTCTGGTGTTTTGCAATCCTACTTGGTGAAGAAACATGCTTCATAATTAGGTTTGGACAAATAATATTGATATGTTAATAATTTAGATTCGAACATTCAATAAATATTATTAAACTAACTTAGGTAATGTAATAACAACTGTACTAATATAACATTTTAATTCTTTGTAATATTACATAGTGTGACACTAAGTGACTAATATGTCCATGAATTTTGATTTGCTTCCTTCAATTAGCTATTGACTTGATTTTGTTTCTTTCAATTAGCTATTGATATTTTTCTATTATACTTTTTACGAAATGAAACGCATATATAATTTTAAAAGTACTATTCGAGCCACGTTGAGCTGAAATGAACACTTCACATTAGATCCCATGCTCGTTCAACAATCAAGTATATGTCTCGACTCGTTTAAGCTCGTAAAGCTCGACCCCATTTGCGTAAAAAACACGAAATCGTAAACAAATTGTTTGAGAACATAATTTATGCGTTTCACGAAGTTACTCAGCTCGAATGTTCGTTTTAAATGTCTAAGAAAAACAAATAAGTCGTTTGTCAATGTGCTCTAATAATTGTTCGACTTCGACTTATTTAAGTAAACAAACAGATTGAAATTTGAGGTTTCACGGGTCTAATCAGGTTGTACTCACAAATAATTTAATTTGAAAAACAAATATACATGTGTTATAGTCTACAAATAATGCTTGAAACGAGCTGAATCGAGCTCAACATTGGCCTTATCGAGCAAGATCGATTTTTTTTACCTGCTCGAGTTTGATTTTTGACGCTCAAGATTTACTCGACATCGATTGAAATAAAAATGCTCGAACGATTGCTCGTGTTGGGCTCGGATCTCAATTTACCATTAAGTACGTATATACAATATTGTAATATTTATATATAAATAATATTATAGTAATTCACTACATATCTCGAGACGCTCGCAAACAGTTCGACCTTTCAAAATCTATGCTCGAGATCGACTCGATAACATGCCCGAGTTCGAACAAACTCGAACTTGAACCATTTGGATCGAACGCTCGTGAGCAGCTCACTTGCTGCTCGGTTCGTTTGCAACCTACGTGCAAGTGAAGGCCAATCTTTTTTTTTTTTTTTTTTTGTAAGAATAGTTGGAGTTGAAAAAATATATAAAAAACAATACAATCCGTACGATGTTGATGCCATGGAGGGGGTTTTTTTTTTTTTTTAATTTATGTTTTATTTAAATAGATGAATGACAGTACCATTTGTTTAGTAAAAAACAAAATATAAAATTGCACAATCTTTAAACATGAGATTTCCGGTTTATTCCATTATCATATTGATGGCAACTCCGTAGTCATCAGAATCAACGACTCTTATTGAGACACGTATACGATAGATTTGACTCCCACAACTTTCCAATCCTCAACCAATCATGAGCCGTGAGCGTGCTTCCCTTCTCTCTGCATTTCTTATTTTCTACTCGATTTTCACCAGTCCACAAACGCTCTCACCTAAGAACAAGCTCATCTGAAAAAATCCACCGATTCTTCGATCCGTGTCAATGGCGGACAAAGCATTCAAGTACGTGATTCTCGGTGGTGGCGTTGCCGCTGTGAGTACATCGAACTGTCCTGTTTGTGTTTCAAAGTATTTCGATTGTTTGCCCTGTTTTGCATTTGTTGTTCAATGTTGAGGTTGCTTGATGAATTTTATGATCTGTGCTGCGCTTCATTGGATCTTCCTCGCGAGGAGATTAATTTGATGTTGTTATTGTTGCTGTTATTACCATTTTTTTATTTCTGCGTTTTTTAGCTCGATCTGAATGATTAAGGAGCTAAATGAAACGATGTCGTAGTGTTAGCTGGTGCTATGTTTGCTCAATCAAGTTCTGTTTCTCGTCTTCTGGGTTCTCTTTGTTTGTTATGTTTATAGTTGTTCATGTTTTTTATGTAATTTACGGAGCTTTGTTGTTATTGATGCTATGCGAATTCACCCGTTGTCAGCGTTGTTATTGTTTCAAATCAAATTTTGTGAGTTTGAGAGATTTGATATGAGCTATGTATATGAATTACAAACTAACAGTCAAAGGAGCAGCTCAATTATGATGTTTTATGTGTTGGCATAAAAATGGTTGTGTAGTTAATATTTTTTAGTGCAATTATTTGAGAAATTCAATCACTAGGGTCACTGAGTTGTGGTTTTCTTATGCGATAGGGATATGCGGCCCGGGAATTCGCCAAGCAGGGAGTCAAATCGGGCGAACTGGCTATCATCTCAAAAGAGGCGGTACGCACTCGAAGCTTTTCTTCATTTTGAGTTCATCTTCATTCGGCACTGTTGCTGAATAGTTAGGATTTTTTTGGTAATATGAGGTTCTCTTTATGCTTGGGCTATGTAAAATCAGCGAACAAGGATATTAGATTGTTACTTAGTTCTTTCTTAGATGTAAAACGAATCACGTGAATATTAAATTGCCCTGTTTCTTGATTGGTTTGTGTTGCTTAGTTTATGTTTTTGCTCTTCTATTTCCAGAATCCTGATTAGCCATCCGAATGTTACTAAATTCCTTTGGCATGTTTGGATGAATTATTTCTATTGGAAGTAACAATTTTGGTATTCTGGTAATTTTCGTGTTAAAATGTTTTTTATGAAATTGTATGTTGAGCCTCAATACTCTTGCTTAATGGTGGTTTCAGGTGGCTCCTTATGAACGTCCCGCACTTAGTAAGGCATACCTATTTCCCGAGGGTAAGTTTATTTATAATTCGTCTGTTGAAGACGAAATATGATGTGTCTGAACAAGAAGATCCTTTTCTTTGGTAATGATTGTAAACAAGTGAACCCACGGAAATTTGCAAACCTCTATATAGTGCTTATAATCAACTCCTAAACGATTTTCAGTGATATAATACCAGTCTTGCCTTGGTTTCTTGTTCATTGTCTCGCTCTCCATTTCATAAAGATACTTTACCATAAACTTTTTCTTCATCTTCGTTTCATGTTTGGGGTGTTAATTAATAATGAA